GCACCTACAGAGAGAACAAAGCAAGTGATATGGTTTTACTTGAGGTTTTACAATCTGTATGGAAAGATCTATTGGGTGTACTCAGCTTATGGTCCAGAATTTATGATCTAGCATTTTAGGCAGATTTTTTGAGCAATTTTGTTTTGTGGGGCTAAATAATTTTACTTGCATTTAACCCCCCCCTCTTAATTTTGCTGTTCCTAATTTTTTTAAAGTTTTTAAAATTTATTTTCAAGTTTTGAATTGTAAGTTGACCTGGAATTCTTGTTGGCTGAAAGATAACTCAGAAATACTTGTGCAAATAAATACTGTGTTAATTGTGTGAAGCAGACTAAGAGTTAGAAGGGAAAGATACATGGACACAAAAGAAAAATAGTCACCATGATTCTTACTGTAACCTGAACTTTCAGCTTAACATACTTAATAAGATTACTGTGAAGCAAAATAGAAAGAAATCTAAGGTTTTTTGAGCTTCTCTGAAGGAGAGATAAAAATGCAATACTGTAGGTTAATCATGAAAAGGAGAGAAATTGATTGAACAGTACTTTTGAAATCTTAATTAGTGCCTCCCCTTCAACTCCCCTCATCTCAGCTCAAAAGTACAGTCTCCCATTATTTGTTCATCAGTTATCTTCCTTACCTCTATTTCCCTTTCAGCATTCAAGTCATGATCCCACAAAATGATTTTTCTATCTTTCCCACCTCCAGTTAGCAGCATCCCATTCCTCATTTGACAGAGTGTGAACACACTGCCATCGTGAGCTTTGATTTGTTTGCTGATTTGATACACACCTGTAATCATGTAAGAAACAGTACAATTCCAATACAGAGTATTTGCCAACCAGCTTAGAAGATTATTTCGAGAAACAAGAAATAACTAGTACTATACGTATCAATAAGGAGAAGATGTTTAAGGGAGGGGTAGAATCTTTTCCATCTACATAGTTGAACAAAAGCCGCATTTCTAAAGTCTGGTCAACCTGCATCTGAATAGTTTTAACTGCTTCATGATAGCTTCCTGTTTTGAACAATGGTTAATTCTTTAATAGAAGGAGGAAGAATCAGCTGGGTTCATGGATAGATGTGCATACCTAAATTTTTAAAAACAAGAAAATTGAGCCTCTGATACCTACTTTTTGTTAGTAAAAAGTCAGAAGAAAGTTAAAAAGTGTGAAGCTTTAATAGCCTTCTGGAATGGGTGGCTATAATAAATTTTAATAAATAATATTAATTTTCTGCAAACATGCTCAAATTGAATTAAGAAAAACATATAAACCATAGTTGGACTTTTCCGGTTACTGAAAGATGAACCTTAAGAAGAAAGGGGATTCCTTTCACCTTTTTTAGGTAAAAGACAGCCCCTGACTCTGCCCTGTAGAAGAAACCCCACTCTTCAGTTGCATGTGCTGATTAGTAAAGAGTGTAGGTCAACTTCTTCATTGTTAATTTACCTTAACAACAAAAAATTTCCAATGGCAAGAACACAGAGAAATGGAAGAACAATACATGATGATTAACAAACCACAGGAAACTTACTTAGAAAATTTACCCCTGGTCATTTGAATTCTCTCTGAACTGTTTTCCCCTCTTCCATATGGGGACTGTCAGGCCTACCTTTCTGTGACCACTCACCTCTTCCTGTCAGGAAGGGTGGCTCCCCTTGCTTAGTTTCTGCTATCTCTGGAGATCTTTGCTCCACAGCTCATCTAAAGACTGAAGGGAGGAACTTCCTCCACAGGATAGGAAGATGTTTTATGCCCTGCCCTCCAGATGGAAGAGGTAGAGTTAACCCCTTTTGCTGTCAGCTCCCTCTTTAATGCCTTCTCAAATATATTTCCTTTAGCCTATGTACTTGAAAAGAAAAGGAAATCAGATTTTATAGCTCAAATGAATACTTCACTTAACAGGCTATCCTTACGGAGAAGTTCATTTTTTTCTAGATATATGTAATGAGACATACTTTGAACTAAATCTTTATTAATCCTATTGTAAATTCAGCAAGAATCATCAGTCATAAAAAGGCCAACTCAACAAAACCTGGATCTATTTAAATAATGAAAATATTAAATATTTGCTGTATATAATAGTTATTTGCTTTAAAGGTTATTATAGTATTAAATGCACTATCTATGTTATAATTATGCTTTTACTTTATTATTTTCTTTAGAAACAAAGCTAACTGAAAACATATATTTGCAGTTAAAATGTCATGTACTGACACTGTTTTTTCTGGCATGCTTATTTACGCCCCAGCATTTTAATTAGCTGCCAAATAAAATAATTATCCTTGGATTTAAGAATTTCCTTAGGGCTCAGCAGTGCCAGACATGCATATTCCTAGTTGCTAATAATAATACTTTTTTAAAAATTTAAATTGAAATGAAATGTAGCCATATTTAACTTAAAAGCCAGAACACTGAAAATAAAACAAGATCTAGTGCCAGTATTTGATGCTTGGCCAGATTAAGAGCAGCTAAAGTTCTACATTACATTTTTCTCTTTCTTTCATGTCTGTATTCATATGAAAATCAATATTATTATATTAAACACATTCTATAAAAACATTTTATCCAATGTTACAACTCATATGTTAAGTTAGAAACTCTGCATTGCTCATGCACATTTCTTGTTCTAATCCCTGATCAGCTGTAGTAACAAGTTATACAATCTGTTCATACATATTGTTCATCGGTTGATAATTATGAGTAGCCATATTGGAAAAGACTAATGATACATCTAGTCAAGTATCCTGTCTCTCACAGCAGTCAAAATAGGATGCTGCCAGGAAGTCCACAAGCAGGATAAGAAGGCAACAACTTGTTGCTGTATTACTTCCCAGCAACTTATATATGCAAACACAGCAATTCAGTGGCCAAAAACAGCTTCAGAACTTCTGGATTTGAAAGTAGCATATAAACACCATTAGAAATAGTTACTAATGTAATACCCAGTAATAGCCAGACCTTAGCCATAGTCTGTGGCAGCAAGTTTCATAAACTAATTACAGAATGTCCTTCCTTGTATCTATCCTGATTCTGAAATACTTATACTTCCGTTTGTTTTAAATATTTTGCTTAAAACCTGAACAGAACATAAAAGCTTGCTGAGAAGTTTGTAACTTGGAAGAAAATTAATCTAAAATGTTCACCAGAGTTTTAAAATTCTTTTTAGATTACTTTTCAAGTACGTTCAACTGATGTATTGTGTATTGCGTAAAGTCTGATAGAAGTTTGTACAGTATAGTATTATATGCATTAGTATAGTTTTGTTGAAAACATATGCCATCTACATTTTCAGGAACCTACAGAGATAATTTGATTTCCAATATTTCTTGCATTTTTATTAAACTTTAAATATATTTTCATAACATAAATCCATTGAATAAATATGATACCTTTTGCTCCTTTTCCTGATGTACCTTCTACAGTAGTTTTGCTCCATATAAGCAATATCCCACCTGAATCACCAGTGAGAACTTCTCCATTGCCTAAAAATGCTAAGCACTGAACAAATTTGGGTTTGTCATATTTCTGAAAAAGAACAAAATGCATTTAAGGCTTCTGCGTGAACAGCTTATATATGCAAACACAGGCAAGTAAGCTCAATTCAGACAATTTTACTGGGGTTGGGGTTTGGTATATTGCCTTATTAGAGCATATTAACATACATACAAACATACATATATTTGTCTATAATGTGTGATCAGATCTCCTAAATTCTGAGTAAGAATTATTATGGAGAACAGTCCCTAATCCTTTGATGAGAAGAAAATAATCTTATCAATATAATACTTTCAAACATTCTAATTTACAACTTCAGGAAACTTGCCTAACACAAAGCTTCTTACCCCAAATATTCCTTGTTTCCTTGTTAATGAATTTGTACTCCAAGTCCAGAAAAAGATATGAGATTTGCCAGATGTTATTATTGTATCTTTATCAGTTGGGTGGAATGCTACTGCCAGGACAACTTCATTTGTAGTCTTTTAAAAGAAAAAGGGAGTTGTCATTACTAAAGTGTTTGTTCTTATAAGTAATTGGAGAACTTATGTACACAGAAACACAAAACACAATACTGAAGCAGATTGCTTATTTCTTATTCATGATTCATTCTTAGTACTCAAGTATCTGTTAAGCAATTTTATTTTGGGGTATACCTCCTATTATTCTATAGAGAAAGCAACGTGATCTGGTGCCAAAGGGGTTCATTTTTCAAATACTTCCATGGCCTCACAGCCTTTTGGCTAACATCAATTGTGTGATACCTCCAAAGCTGTTGCAATAATGGGAAGTGCTGTGTGCATCCAGCTATATATAAGAAGGTTGCAGTTTACTTTGGTTGTTTTCTATATGAAGGAATATGAAGATTCTGGCTCAGAGACACCATTTCTTTGGGTATTTTAATAATGCACCAGAGATAGTTAGAATCAGATATTTAGAATGTAATAGTGATAAAATTGGAGAAAGGAGAAGGGAAAAGATTTACCTTGGAAATATAGTTTACCCATATTATTTATACCTAATACAAGAGTCCCTTTACCCTTATCTTTTCTTTCTATTTCTTTCACTTTACTATCTGTCTCAACTTGAGAAGTTTGGCTGTAGGATATAAGCCCAGTGTCCTTGACATAACTAAGGAGAGCTTCTTATTCACAGTATAACTCAACACTTTTTTAAAAAGTACTTTTTCTACATACTGTCCAAATTTCCATATAACTTTTCACTTAAGCATATAAATCAGGCTGGTTCTTAGAATAAGCAACATCTTTTCCATTCATTCTAATGTCATTCATAAAGGGTTAATAAAGGTTTTATGAAACATACTGTATACTTTGTTGAAAATTCAATAACCACACAAAACAATTCAAGAAACAACCCCAAGGAATGCATGCATGCATATTAAGGCTGTTCACAATTTGGAACAAGGGCTTTGGATTTTGCATGAGTGTGGTATCTCTTTGTTTCTGTGTGAGCCTGAAAGAAGAGTCTGCTATCAGTTTATCGATGCCAACCATTCCATAGCTTCCTCAGGTGAAAGATACAAGTTGCTTGATCAAGATGCTTTCCAACCACTCCCCTTTGACTATTTGTGGGGAGGAGTCTGGAAATTAGGCTGTGAGATCTGTTGATAACATCGCAAGGAAACTTTTCCTGTTGTCCCTTGGAAACCTGTAGAGATGCTGGCTGCTAGATTGTTTTGATCTATTCCAGATTGAACACCTTTCCTAAATTCATCACTAAAACAGGCCACTGCTGAACAGTCTCCAACAAAGAACTGCAAATTACATGAAATCAGAACATAAGGGCTGGCCTTCTTTCTGGTCCAAATCCATCAAGGAATAAATCTCAGATGAGGATTGTTCCTCACTTCCATGCAGACAATGAAATCTTCAGCATTATCTAGGGAGTCTGAGGCAGAGATCCTGAATGTGAAGTTGTATGTTTCCCCTTGCTCCTGCATCCTATGTCTATACCTGAAGAGGGTGTGCTGAATGGACTCTTGGAAGTGTGAGTAGTTGTCTTTCTATGAAAAAAAAAGGGGGGGGGGATTCTCCTTCTCCTTAGGACTGCATATAATTCTGCTTCCCCAAAGGGAAAACTGGCCAGAGTTCCTATAACTTATAGACAGGACACAATGAAGGCTTATACTTTCTCTCTAGAGCCTATAGTGCCATGCCAAGCATCCCTAGGTCAACTCATGTTTCCACTTGGCGATCAGCCCCCTGACATACTATCACATCGTGTCCTTCAGCTGCCTCACTGGGGAAGGTGTAGTGCTTCCTATTTTGAAGGAGGTAGCAGTTCATTCTCTTCTGAAGAAGGCCTCCAGGGATCTATCCATGTTTCACTGGGTGCAGTTTCCAAAATTTCTTTCTTAGAGAAGGTTGTTGGAAATGTGTACATCACCTATAAAGGATTCTAGAGAAAACAGATTATCTAGATCCTTTTCAATCAGGATTCAGGCACTGTCATGGCTCAGAATAGCATTGATTGCTATGGTAGATGATCTGCATCTGGACGAAATAGGAGGAATGTAACACTTCTTAGTCCTTTTAGACTTCTTGTTAACATTCAATTCCACTGACCATGATTTTCTTCTGGACAGCCTATAATAATTGAAATGACATTCTGTGGTGGTTTCACTCCTGCTTGGTGGGGTCATTAACTGAAACTTGGGACTCCAGTGCAGGGTTCTCCAGGGCTTGGTCCTTCTCCCATGTGGAATCTATGAAGAAGGCCATCTGTTGGTTTGGAGTGAGATGTCATCAATACACAGATGATTCCCAGTTATTTGTTGGCACTTTAGGCCAAATTGGAGATGCCCTGGAAATGCTGAATTAGTGTCTGCAGGCAATACAGATTTGAAGGCAGAAAAACAAGCTCAGATTAAATCCTTCCAAACCAGAACTGCTATTTGTCAGTAAGCCTTTGGGCAATCCAGTAACAATCCCAATATTTACTCTAGTGGGACTGTACTTTCTCCAAAAGTCTGACTCTTGTTTCCTGTTGAAGCAACATGTAGAAACCATGCCCAGCTCCAGCTGGCAAACCAGTTCTGACACTACATTAGCAAGAATGCCCTGGCTATAGTAACTCACATCCTGATCATCACATGGTTAGACTACTGTAGCACACCTTATATGCAGCTGTCTTCAGAAATGATCTGGAAGCTGCAGCTGGTACAAAATTCTGCAGCAAGATTGTTGATGAGGCTGTAAAATGGCAATGATTTTGAAGTCACTGCACTGGTTACCAATAGGCTTGTGGGCCCAATTCAAAATGCTAGTTATCACATTTAAATCCCTTCATAATGCAGCATCAGGTCATATCAGGCAAACACCTCAACAAAACAGAACCTGGCTGTCTAGTATGGCATGTTTATGATCCCACCCTCCTCTTGAGGAACATGGGATGGGGACAAGATGACAAGCCTTCTAAGTGGCAGCTTCCATTCCATGGAAGACCTTATCCCAGAAGGTAGCTTCAAACGCCTTGCTTTCTGGAAGCAAGTTAAATCAGTGCTATTTCAACCCCTAGTTCTGTTTGGGTGGCCATCATAGACTACTATTGTTGATTGTTTTAATTTATTATGGACTGGAATTGTTGTCTGCCAACCAGAGTGCATATAGATTCATAGATTGGGGCAGCCTATGAATACTGTTAACACAACATACATGTATTAGATCCATCCTTAAGTTTATAGTAAATACAGAGATTATATGCAGTAAATACAGCGTTGACTGTAATATAAATATCCTGGCACTGATAAGCTAACCAAAAGTTGAATACATCCCATTGCTTTGATTCATGAATAGAAGTCAGTTTGTATTTTTTTCATTTCATTATAATATCCAACCTTCTCTCACAAACACTTTTTCCTGTTAACTTAGAAAACACTTCATGCATTTGATGAAATGAATTTTTTTTCCAAGAATGCTTATGCTATTATAAATAGTAGGTCACTGGGTGGTATCCAATAGGTGTCTGCTGATGGAAAGCTATTTGATTCAACTGACACTTCTGTTAGTGGAATGGAGATATGCTATAAGTCGGGTTATTGTATCACTGGAGTGACACCACCTGGAAGGTATTCTTTCTTGCTTCAGCCACAACACAGACCTTTACATTCCCCTCTGAAAAAGTGGTGAAATTATTAAGAGGGACAAACTGAACTTAATGTTACTCACATCGTAACTGTTTGTTTTGAAATGTTTCAAGTTTCCAGTAAGGTGGTACAAAGCAGATTTATGTTGTCATGCACTGATTCAACATAAACTTCATGACTTTGGTAATACAACTAAGTATTACTTGAGTCAAAATGAAATCTACTATTTACCTTTATCTCTGCTACTTTTGATTTCTTCTGCCAGTCCCAAACAGTCAGCATGTGTTCATTAGAATCATCAATCACACACAAATGGGTACCTGAATCCTTGCAAAAAAGATTTAAAAATAAAATTCATGTCATATAACTATAGGAAACAAGATCAAACATTCTTTCACTTAAATTCCCCAAACATTTTCTCTTGTCTTTAAGAATGTTATGATGTAATCTCAACTATGTTTTGTTTATATGTAAGGGTAATTTACATGTGCCAGATTAGGTCATTGTCCTTTATCACACTGGCCTAATTTAATGTGACCTGAGTGTGGAAGGGAAGTATTTATGTGTGACATTCTTCAAAGTCAGCTTTATTTTTAAATTGGGGTCTCACCTAAAAGTGAATGTTGCTGGGGCTGTTGTTTGAGTCACAGATCCTTGGAATATGAATGTTGTCAATATAGATAAGATAACAAAGTAATGCTCCAAGCATATGTACATACCTAAACCAAGCAGCTCTGCATTAAGATTGGGTGCTATATGGTCTTTAATATTAATTACTACTGATATGTTTCAGAGTCTCCTATCAGCAATTTCAGACAAATTACTGGTATGAGAAAATGGTATTTATATATTTTTGATTCTACTTTACATATTTTCTATGCAAAGTGGGTAAAGATGTATCAGAAAGCATTGTTCCATCATGGGTTAAACCAAACTTTCCCTGCTAGGCAATGATTTATGAAATTATTCAACTAGAAGTAGAAGTAATATGGCACAAGAAAAGTCATTCTTTTTTTACTCTAACCTCATAAATTAAGTCCCCTCTGCTCTTTATAAAATTCAGTTGACGATTTACATTTGAAATGCAAACTTAACAGTTGAATGGAATGAAGAATTAGAGAGTCCTAAGAAGCATTAAAGTGACTTAGATAATTGAGGCAGCCTACACATTAAGTGATAAATAAATAATAAAGCAACAGTACCAAAAACTTCCATAGATCTTAGCTTACATCCTATTCAATAAAACATAATTTTGGAATTATTGGCAATGTAGATTAGGAATGGATGATTATAAGAAGATATGGCTATCTTCACTGAAATGCTGCTATAGAAATGTTATTTAATTATTTATTAAATTTAATGCCACCCATCTCCCCCAGAGGGTGACTCTGGGCGGCTCACAATTAAAATCAAACATCAAAAACAGTAAAAAATATAAATATCGAGATTAAATTAGCTACAAAAAATCATACTATATAGAGAGACTCTTTATGCAAAAAGACTGTAAAATTCAAGATGATGGGGGGGACAGAATCAACTATCCCATGAGCCAATTCCAACAATGCGAGCCCCCATCAGGCCCCCAGGCCATCTGGCAAATCCAAGATTTCACACTCTTCCTGAAGGCTATGAGAGCAGGGGCGCACTGCACCTCAAGTGGTAAGTTGTTCCACAGAGTGGGGGCCACGGCAGAAAAGGCCCTCTTCTGTTAGGCTCTGTATGATTTTGTTTTTTCTTTATTTATTTGAATTGCTTATTTTTCTTTCCCTTTGGTATTCAACTAATAAAAGTAAAAACAAACAAACAAAAAAACCTCCCCTTCACCTCCTTCCTGGTAAATGGGAAAATGTATCTGTGGCAATAAATTCCAGCACAACATTTGAAAAATACATAATAGAAAATCACCAATTAAATGCTCTTTTTCACTTAATCAGTTTTCTCTTTCCCTATAAAAGGACTTATTATATTATATAAAGGGAACAAGAAAGACAAAATTAGTAACTGTAAACTAAATTAAGTGGCTTTCTTTCCTTAAAGCTAGTGTTCAACTTTTAAATACTATGATGATGGGTGGCATATCATTAATAAGAAAGAGGAAAAATTAAGCTTTGGGCATATGATATGAAATAGTGACAAAAATTGCCATAGCATATGAGAAGATTCAGCTCAAGTGCCTGCACATCAGTGTTTCAGCCTTCTGATCGTCTTCATTGCTCTTGACAATGCATTTTTTCTACCCAGGCTTTGAATAAAAAACATGTCTCATAGTTAGAAACCTTGGAAAAACCTCATTACACCTTCAAAACATTATTTTGCAAGGCTTCATACACTTACTAAAAAGTGGACAAATAAATAAATAGCAGCTATTTTTTGTTTCTGTTTCTCCTTAGAGAATACTATCCACTGCAGGAAATTCCTGCCATCACGTTGTAAGGACTACATGTGACACTCCACTGAAATGGCACTAAAATAAACCAAAATAATTACTCATGGCAGATAAATCAAGATAAATTTCAGAAAATTATATATATAATCAGCTTCAGAATGAAAATTAAACTTTTGTATCAGGGCTTGCTAAGAATAGATTTCATGAATGCTCTTATAAGAAAGAAAGTTTTCAATAATAAATATGTTGTACAATAAATATATTGTATTAAGCTATATTTCCAGGTATTACTTTCAGTTATACTCCCATCTCTGCTAAGCAGTAAATAATAATCTATTCTCTAAAGAGGGGTAACCTATGACATTCCAAAAATTGTTGGATTTCAACTCTTTATCATTTCTGATTATAGATCATAAAGGCTAAAATTGAAGACCAATAATATTAGAATAACTACAGGTGGCCTACATTCTATTCTAGGCAGTCAGATTATATAGCATCATTTATTTATCCATCCACATTTATATGCCTTCTGCTCCTGCAACTATAAGTGGCTATTTATCCCTATCTCTATAGTTATCACTATAGTTTATTACTGATAAGTTATATAAAGGATCTAGCTAAATGTTTAAGTTGGAATGCCTCAATATACTGTATTTGCACACTGATCCATGACATTCTGTTATCATCAGATGATTTACTAGTTTTGCTACCAGGACTATGTAATACTTTGGATTCAGTTCCAAAAAGATGCCTCATAGCATGTAGGGATGGAATCAAGCACTTCTCTGCAGCTCTAATTGAAACACTACCTGTAACTGCTGGAGGCAGCTTTGTTCCACAAAACTACAATTTCTTGGAACAATCATTGTTAATCAGTAAATAAGGAAAATAATGGATACAAACCAGGAATAAAAAGAATGAGTTACACTGGGATTGGAAATGATGCAGTTAATCACCAGAAAATTGACTTCATGAAGAGAGTTCCTTGTATAAAAAAGGAAAGTAATCTTTCATAGCTTGAATAGATATCAGGTTGGGAACAGCTGTGATAGATGCAATGTTACAAACAGGTGAGCAGAATTCTCACAACTGTTTATATAGACACACTTACCCATGCACATAATTGGATACATCATTTGAGAAACAAAGACATGCAATTTTCCTTACTGCTTTTGAAAAGTCCAGACATCCCACTCCACGTTCAAAAGTCCCAAGGCCAATAACTTGTAGAGTCATCAGGCTCACTGAATCCCATACTCTAACATGGGGCTGCAAAGGCTGTAAGTAAAAACAATTTGAAAGGGATGATTACTGAAAAGATAAGAAGAGACCCAAGTAGAACTGTTATTACATTAAGCAGATATTGATTTGTATGGAAATAGTCATCAGTTGGTATTGACCTACAGAATAAATATTGACTTGAGTGATGTCCTTGCAAATAAAAAAAGGTATTTCAGTTCAATATTCTGAAAAAGATTTCAAGTATAACTTTATCCATATCTACTCTAAAATGTCTCAGGTAAATAGATATAAGACTGCAGCTTCCAACCATCACTGTGCCATAAACACCATCAATGTGTACTGAAATGTTTAAAATAATACAAGTAAGGAAAGATATAGTTGATCAGCAATATCTCAACATTTGGATTAAGAACATTTACTGGAAAAAAATGGGCAGAAATCCAGACTTGGGCAATGTGAAGTCCATTCATATCATAGGGCCTTCCCATTGCCCATCTTTCTTTAAAAAAATGCATAAGAGAAGAAGGTATAGCAGAAGTCTGGTTAAAATAAGCTTTTCAAGATTCATGTGGCCAACTGAAGATTTGAGAAATACACACTGCATCATGCAAGTTAAGATAACATGCACAAATTCATGCCTTTTGAATTATTCACCAGACAAATGCAGTAGTAAAAATGAAAAATCCCTAAGGGCCTTTCCAGAATCAGAAACCAATTATTGAGACAACATCTGTTAAAAACTTACTCTTCCATCTTTATCTACTCCAGCTATCTGTCCAGTTGCAATCCTGATTTTGTCTGGATGAACAGCAAGGCTAAAAGAAATAACGTATCTTGTTAGGAACAGTGCATGCTTTCACACTAATTACCTATCTAGAAGTGGAGAAAAAAGTATTTGACAGCTCCATGTAGTTTTTAGGGAAGGAGCAGGGAAGGAAGGTTTATGAACCCAGACCATTCTATTCAAAATGTTAAATAGGACCTGTTTTGTACCAGAGTAGAAGATCTGTATGGTCTTGTCTTGCTCATGTAATCCAGAATCATCACACAGGCACACCCAAGACTTCAAACACATTTTTCTCTTTCAAAACCAGAAATTTAATAACCGATAGAAACGTTAGCAAAAGTCCACAGTTAAATAGTTACCACACCAATATTTTGATCAAGTTTCTGAAAATATTATATTTACTATACCACAATTTTCTAAGGAACATACTAAGATGACAGATTGTTCAGATAATGAAAGAAGTGAGATAAAAATTAATTAGATATGTAAAGACACAATGTAGTCTCTTATTAATGTTGAGGTCATATGGGGAGAAAGCAGATTATGTCAGTTGAACTAGCTTTTATTAGGGAAGAGCTGAAATACTTCATTAATAATAAGGGATTGGTAAATCCCTTGATAAACTCAAGTATCAGAAAGAATGCCTACTGTCTCTCCCCACTAATAATTCTGGAAGAAACCACATGATTTTAATCCAGATACATGACAGTCTTCATCACTGTTCTTGGCACATTTGTATATTGGAAATCAAGCACTTGCAAATAGCATGAAAATATCAATCTGTTAACATTAGCCTGAAGCATGAATAATGGAAGCATATACTAACCATTTAACACAATCTGTATGACCCAAGTAATGACGTTGAGTCCGCTCTTCATAATTAAACAGTATTACCACGGATGCTATGAAATATACTATTTCTCCAGTAGGTAAGAGGTAAACATTAGCTCGACAGTCCCTGCCACGATAACCGTATCTTTTTTTTTTTTTGGTCAAGGTTTTTCAAAATGAATCAGCATTAGTGATGGAAGCTTGTGCTGTAAAGATCTGTGGTAACATGAAAACATGCTTCTCTCATATGTTGCCTATGGTCTTAAGAATCAAACATACCCCACCCCACCTCTTGGAATTTTGCCTACAAGAGACTTGCTTGGAGTCCATGTTGGTACCTTTTCAGAATCTGGCATTTTTTCACAGGTACTTTAAAGTCCTTTTGAAGCCTCTAATTGAAATTTATCATTTCATAAGAATGATATTGTATTTTTTCAAGCTTGACTGATAGTTGCACAGTTGTTAACTCTTCAGTTTTTAGCTTTTATGAAATTACTTTTGGATTCCTGCTGACGTAAATAATGTTGATATTCACCTTTTTAAGTTTTGTGCTGTTTGGACCTTATGTTTGGCATTTACATTTTATTATATGTACATGATATAATTTTATATATTGACCAAAAAAGCATGGAATGAGATTATTAATAAAGACGACACACTTTGTGGGGAACACTCTTCCTTCAGATGGAGAAAATATCTCTAACTCTATAGAAAGAGATAAGAAGACTATACATAAGTATGAAAATGTGTGTTCATTTGTAAACCCAAATTATGAACTTCTCATTATGTAACATAATCTATTTTGCAGCCCTAGAATCATATCAGTCAACAGGAATTCTGCTTTGCACTCTTTATAGAGACTACCTTACTTCTATATGGCCTTCTAAAAATAATGAGCAAAAATCCCAGAAACTTCTCATAAGGGGAAAGATGTCTAGAATACTGATAATCATCTTCAGGATTTCAGTGGAAGAAAGTTAGTTTTAAATTAAAATTTGAAATAGAATAATTCTTCAATAGACAAAACCTGAAAGACCAAACATGATTACAGTAGTTAGCCAGCAAGTACATTCTGCCCTGGTATTTTTACTAACTATGTTCAATGCTATGTCATGGTTTGTGATCATTATTTCTGAAAACAAAAGATATGACAAAATTGTATATGATGTGATAAAATTTATGAGCTTTCTTGTGATCCTATTCTCTTAACCAGCCTCTTTTATTTTCTAGGAATTAATTTCAAATCCTAATAGAAAAGTTGTGTTTTGCTATGAAATTTGATCCAAAGATAGGCTGCTATCCCTGTATTAGAACAGATTATAGAAGGTTAATGAGGTAGCAATTAGCTATTTTTATTCTACAAGAATAAATTTTTTTTACAATTTAACATTGAAATAGTGGGGGGGGGGTGAGTGGGAGGGAAAAGAGAAAAACATCCATTTAGTGTAAGTTCTACCAGATATCTAACAATAAATCAGCCAAACCTAGACCCAGACTCATGAACTAAAAGGATGTCAATCTTACAAGATAGGCCAGGTAAGGGAATAGACAATGCAAGGGCTATTGGAACTCTGTTGCTGTAGTGCATTACAGAATCTTGAAAGCTTGCCAGAGTTTTCCACTATACTGCCTTATACCACGCAGAATCAAATTGGGGTTATTTTGAGTCTCTTCCTTATGTTTTTCCCAGGGCTGAGATTTCATTTATTATTTTATTTGTTAACAGCTTTCACACTCCTTCACTACCTCTGCCTCCCTTTACAAAGGGAGAGGCATCCACAAGTCTGAGGTTTTTTTTCAAAATAATGAAATTGGTGTTCCTCCATAAGCTCTGCCCCTTTCATGTAAGTGTGTTACACCACAATGCAAAAGAGGTGGAGCTTGCATTGTGGTAGTACTTCTGTCAATCCCTCCCCCCACTCCAGACATCCCTGTGGACACCCCTGCTGAAAGAGTAACTTACATAAACAGAAACTGGGTTTTTTATAATACTGTAGTGTTTGTTACCCAATTAAAAAGTGTATCAATGCTGCATTCACATCTTTGTGTTCACACACATGTGTATGCATATACTTATCTGAAAGGAAGACTAGTTTCCCCCTTTTCCCATTAAATGATTTGCCATTAAGATGGGATGGTTGTCTGAGATCCACTGAGAATATGGTAATAGTCTACTTTCTGTAACATTAAAAATTATGTCACAATCCAGCTTGCTACTCTGATCTTCCAAACTCATCTGGTGGTCCTCACATTAAGTCTTTTCTTCCTGCATGCTGCATCTTCTCTGAGACTATGTGGATAATGAAATGTTTGGATGAATGAATAGAAATGTGATTTGTATATGGCTTTGGCCTGACATTCTGGTGGGATGCAAAAATTACACACAAGGGAAGGCAGACCTCAAGATAACAAACAACAAAAAAAGTTCCCTAACTTGTAAAACATAGACACCACTCTGATCCAAGAGGGCAACTGCTGCCTTCTTAAGTGTCAGTAATCCAGTACTTAATAGCATGAAGAAATATAGGGCTCTAAAGTAACTGTGAGAAATGTCTGTGTGAAACTATAAAAATAATAATAATAATCAATAGGAGTAATAGAAAGTATTGGTGAGTGGCTGTAGGAAGGAAACTCACATCCTATGAGTTCCAGAAGACAGCAGTATTTTTTTTCCCTAGGATATATATTTTTAAATTTTATCAAATTAAGAAAACCTTAGCATAATAGGGCAAAATTGGAAGTTAGGTTTTAAAGGGAAGTGGGGGGGGGAGCAAAATACTGGAAACAGAAAGTGTTTTCCTTGAAGCATGCAGTAAGGATACACCCACTCCAGTTTTAATTTCTCAGGGGGCAGCTCTGTCTTGATTTCGTAATATTTGTCAACATCTGAAGGAAGAAACATTGTGATGGGCCGTCCCCGCATGAACATCTTGATATACTCGCCTTCT